TTTTTTTTTTTAAATATAGATTAGAACAAGTTCTTTTTATTTAATTTATCAGATCTCTGTGGGACACCCTATAAAAACAAATAGTAGAAACAACGTTGATAATTAATGATCCAATGGTCTCGATGATTTGTCATCTTCAGTTTTTAATAAAATCTTCATTCGAAGGTTATATTTCAATTCCTGTGATATGATTTCATATATATCATTAATATGATGTTGGACGACTAAAATATCTATCAGTTCGAGCATCTTCAATGAATGATTCTTGTATATCCTTATTCTTTAACGTTGTACGTCAGCAAATGTTGTAATGAAAAAAAAAAACAAAAACAAAAGTCAATACGCATGACTCACATATTATTTTGTTGTGATAAAAAATATATAAAATACAAATACCCAATATAATGGTTATATTTCTATCATATATCAATTAGTGTATTTTGTAGAGGTTGAAATCAATTTTAAACATCGATAAGTAAAGTTAAGATTTAAGAATCATCTACGAAGGACTTTCATTGAAAGTATGAACAGACATCAAAATTTAAACCGTAAAAATGTTTAAGTTATATTTTGTTTGAAAAAAAAAACACCAGTTGAAAATCAAAAAAAAAGATTTTATGGACTTTGTAGAATTAAAAATTAAAAAATTATAAAATCAATATTATTATTCTTGATTTATATCGGTTTGAAAATTTAAATAAAATATGTCATTCTATAATTTTAAGTCCTGATATTTTGTTTTAAAAAAATATCGTGTTATAATCATATAAAATTCATAACATAATGAATACTGAATAGCCAGAAATAATACCGATATATGCTTATTTTTTAAAATTATAATTAACGATCGAATTTAGTTGTGTTAAAAATGTCAAAATTGCATAAAAATATATACTTTGACGTTACAATGAAAAATATACTTAAATTGCCTAATATATAATTTAATATTATTTAAAATGTATAACTATTAATTATTATTATATAATCGCACGATAAACAATAACAAATTGAGGAATTATAAATAATGTTTTAAAATTACGAGTATAATATATTATGTAAATTGGAATGTGAGATTTCAAGTATAATATTATTATAGTATGCAGGCGAGTACCCATGTAAGAAATAAAATAAAAGGAACACGTCAATTATATGCTTATGGCTTAATGTACATACTATACATATATAAAGTGAGAATTGTTGATACTAAAAAATTTTAAATAAAAATGAGTTATTGTTGGTCAGATGTTAAAATTTAATCGACACTTAATTTCAAAGCAATACATTAATTCTGTTCATATTTAGAAAATTAGAAATATCGGGAACTAGGTATATATAAGTATTGTGTATAGTATTATCATACGTGTTGTACCTAAATGAACCATAAAAAAGCGGTAAGTCATGGATATCGCTCTGCTGTACAGTAGGTTACTGTAATGGATGGGATTAAATTTGAATGCAATGATATACCTATCATTGTATACGAAAAACGATTCTGAACGGAGATGATTTGTCAGTCTAGGATATATTATATTTAAATATTGTCATATTATATTCTATTTTGAAATAAAAATTTTATTTTTCAATTAAGACGCATTTTGCATATGGCATGGTTAATCAATTAGTGTAGTTATCATAATTCATAATACCTTATATTATCATAGATATACGAATACCTGGTTTGAGGATAAATCGTTATCATTACGCGATTTCATAAAAATTTAAAACTCAAACGCTCAAAACATTTTTCCTATAATGACGCTTCAAATTTTCTCTATAGCTATTTGAAGCAAAACTTATGGAAAACTTGGTGTTAAATTGTATAACCTTAGATATAAATACAAACAATATTATGAATTTTGAACTACAAAATAATTTGCAAATATTCATGGTTTTGACGAATTTTTGTCAATATTTGAAATTCAAGTGCTAATAAAAATTTAATTTGAATTTCCGGTGGATATTTTTTTCGTGATAAAGATTGACAAATTTGTAAGGAATCTTGTATCAAATAACATCATAATAAAAAAAAAATTTGTTTTAACAATAATCACACGACAACCTTACGCTGTTTTARATGATCACGTTTAAACTATTTTTCTTAACACAAATATTGGCATATGATGGGATAACAGAGGAAGTTATGGATATAAAAGTTTCATCAGGTGCATTTTTCGATGAAGTACAGGATGCAGTTATGTACGAGAAAAGCATACCTCTAGTATACACCCAAGAAATTAAAAATGACGAAGGAACTATTAACGATGTCTGACAAATAGAAAAATACTGTTTAGACAAAGATTCAAATTACTGCAAAATAACTCCACAAATTTTAACCTTATTAAAAAATATAGATGAAAATATACAAGAAAATCTTTTTGACATGTCAGATAGGTTACTAAAAAGATTTAATGATAATAAACGATCAAAAGGGGGAATACAATTCCTAGGTAATTTATACCATTTCTGCTGTAACGTGGCCACGGAAAAGCAATTAAAACAATTTTATACTAATGAAGAACTATTAATACACAAATAAAAAAATTCAAGGATGCTTTTGTTTCCGATCACCGAGATTTAATAAACATAACTTCTGAAATAAATAAATATACCAAAAATAATGATAACAACTTAGAAGTTTTAAAAAATTCATTTATTGAATTCGTTAGGGAAGAGAAAGGTTACCAACAAAATTCAATACAGGGGCTTCAGGAAATAATATTTAGCCTAATGACAATAATCTCAAAATTCACCAAGCACGAAACAGATTCAAGCAATCACTTACATTGTAAACTACATAAAATTCAAACTAAAATAATAAAACCAGACGTATTGCAAAATGATTTAATCAAACAATCAGAAGTATTATTAAGTGACGGTTATGAACTAGTTATTCCTATTGAAAACATACCCGCTTACTACAACTTACCGATTACAGAATGTCAATTTTCAAGAAATCAAATTTTAATCAATATAAAAATCCCAATACAGGAAGAGAAGGCAAGATGGAAATTGTTTCAATATATACCAATTCACTTTAAGTTTGAGAAATCTATTTGCTTAATTTTTTCCGAAAAAACATATATTGCCATCAACTCCTATAACAATGAACACAGGTTGATAACAGGTGTAGGGCTTCAACATTGCGACCCACCGGACACCGGTCACAGACTTATGTTACATTCCTAGATTTTCTTCTGACATTACACTTTCCCCAAGATGTGTAGAATCTATATTCAAAAATGAACCGCTAAACGTAATTAACGAATATTGTTATTTCCAATGCGTAAAACAACGCAAAGACAATACTATAATTATTAAACAGATAGGGATAAATATATTCGCAATAACAAACCCGCAACCTACGTTATTATTAAAGATTTACAACAATAAAAACAATAAGATACGGACAGAGAAATTAAAGATTAATTATAACCACCCGGGTCTTATAAAAATATACCTTCCGTGTAATTACGAACTTAAACAAAACACTAAAACTATCATCCCAAAAATGTGCCCCTGTGAAACAAACAACTTAAACACATTCAAATTAAAGAGAATCCTACCAATATCTTGGAACAATATTAAATCTCTAAAAATCGACAATGAAGAAAAGAAAGAAGAAATGTATTTTACTAATATTACCGAAATATTAAATAGTAATTGGAAATCTGACATACCAAACTTTCACATCACCAAGCAAATTAAAGACC